GACCGTCCCGTCAACGAGAACTTGGCCGGAGGTCCACGGTGGGAGAACACACGAACTCGGGGGCCGGGGTCCTGGCCATCGCTCGGACGTCCATTCCCTGTGTTTTTTCAGGGGGTTCGTGCGTGGTTTTTTTTTCGCAAAAGGATCCAGGATGCTCCTCGATGGTCCTCGCCGAAGGAAAAATGCACACGTCCGAGCGATGCCAGGGGTCTGGGGTTGGGACGTTTCTCGCCCTCTGTCGCCCTCCGTGGCCCCTCGTGGCCGCGGCTGGCCAGGGACCAGCTCTGAGCGGATGGCGGCGGGGCCTGGGAGTGGGGAGGGGCAGGGGTGGTGGGGGCGAATGCGAATCGGGAAACTGGGAGGGCGAGCCAAGAAATCGGGGGGGGGGGCGAATGCGAATCAGGAAACTGGAAGGGCGAGCCAAGAAACTCCGGAGCCCACCCTGGGAGCTCCGGAGACGGCCCCGGCGCGCGCCTGCCCCTTGCAGCTCCTCCCGGCTCATCCACACGGCTAAGCCTGGCCTTTGGAGGGGGGTCCCGGGGCCGGGCTTCGAGCGGAACTTGGTCGGGGTTGTAGAGGCCTCCTAGATGGGGTCCGAGTGGCTGGGGTCGAAGGATCGCGCCGCATCGCCAGTGCATCGCCGATGCATCGGCGATGCATCGGCGATGCATCAGCGACGTCGGCGATGAATCGGCGACATCGGCGTGGACAAAAACCGGGCTCCGCATCGAGCCGCATCGGCGATGCATCGGCGATGCGGCGCGATCCTCCGTCCCCATCTGCTCCGACCCCATCTAGGAGACCTAGAGGTTGGGGGGCGGGGCCCAGCGGCACTGTGGGCTGCCATCAGCCGCTTCACCAGCGCCTGGTTCTCCTCCTGCAGCCTCCGCTGCTGGCGCGTGCGGTTCCTGGCGGGCCCCGCCCCGCCTCCCCTGGAGGCTCGAGGCTCGAGGTTCGAAGGCTCCGAGGTTCTGGGGCGTTTTGTTGGCGCTCCGGGGGCCCTCTCGTCGCCATTGCTGGGCTGCCCTCCATTTTCTCAGAAGCCACGCTCGATGACAGGGGGCCCCGGGGTTTGAGTGGGGAGGCCCCTCCCTGCCCTTTCCCACCAAAGGGGCCGAAAGCCAAAGCTTTTGGACAGTCGTGGGCCCTCGTTCGGACATGCGGAAGCATCCAGGGGCCACAAAAGGGCCTCCAGGGAGCTCTTAAGAGACCCCCGAAGACCCCCTGCGCATGGGGGGAGAGCAGGGGGAGCGGGATAGAGAGGAGGGCAAGTGCAGAAGACGCAGGCGGCGGCAGAAGAACCTCTGGGCCCCTGGGCCTGTAGAAGTCGTTGCAGTGCGCCGCCATCCACGGCCCGTGGCCGGTGTTCTCGCTGTCGTGGATCATGCGGACCACCTGCCCCGGCCTGTGCACGATCTCCTGCATGGACCGGATCAGCTTCTTGTTCTCCTCGCCGATCCTCTCCTGCGCCATCCCCTGCACGAAGTGCCGCGACCGCTCCTGCGGGAGGCCAGGAGAAAAGCCTCGGAGGTCCGCGGACGCCCAGAGGTGGCAGGCAAGGCGCGAAGTGAGGGCCGCCCTGGGCTCAGGAGGGGCCCCGGCTGTCGGGCCCTGCCTCGGATCCAGGTCGGCGAACACATGTCCGTGGCCGAGGCTCGCCGTGGCCAGGCAAGCCCTGCCGTCCCCTTGTGCAGCACCCCCGCATGGTAGGCAGCACGATGGCTGTCACGCGCCATGGGTCCCCGATCCTGCGCCTTCCGGAGCGACTCGTTCGCAAACGCCACGGGCTTCTCCTTGTCGACCACCGCCGCCACCTCCCCCATCGCCTGGTGGTGGCCCAGCTGCATGCTCTCCCAGAGGGCCCGCTGCGTGGGCGTGGCGGCGTAGGGCGGCGCAACGGCGGCGACCCGATAGGAGGAGGAGGAGGAGGAGGAGGAGGAGGAGGAGGAGGAGGAGGAGGAGGAAGAGGAGCAGGAGGAGGGAGAAAACAAATGATGGAGAAGACCCCCAGGTTCATCGTCGTCAACACACACAAATATACACGAACACCCACGCACGCACACGCACACGCACACGCACACGCACCCGTACACGCACACGTACACGCATACTCATACGCACACGCACACGCACACGCACACGCACACGCACACGCACACGCACACCCACACGCACACGCGCACCCACACGCACACGCACACGCCCCCCACCCCCCCCCACCCCAGACACATACACACACACATACACACATACACACATACACACATACACACATACACACATACACATACACATACACAACGGCCAGAGCATTCGGCACAAGCTTTCTGGGCGCCTGTCGAGACGGATCGATATGTGAGGGGCCCAGGACCTGAGAGGGCGGAGACGCCCGCCATGCTTTCTCCGCAGCGCAAACATCTTCTGCTCGTCGGGCAGGACTGGGCGGACGAGGGCAGCAAGCAGGACGACGGCGGCGGCCCAAGCAACGGCGACGAAGGCGGCGGCGGCGGCGGTGACGATGGCGGCGCCGACGGCGGCGAGCGGTGGCGGTGGCGGTGACGGCGACGGTGGCGACCGCGGCGGTGGCGGCGGCAGCGGCGACGACGGCCTGGGGAGGCTTCGCCTTCTGCCCCGCCGGCGGGCCGGGGGGGAACATCGCGGCCCCGCCGCCGTCGGGCCCCTGCGGCCCGTGGCGCGCGATGGGCGCGGGGCGCGCGCCGCGCGCGCGCGCGGGCGCTGCTGTGGGCCACCGGCAAATTTGCAGCATCACTCGGTTTGTCTGACGTTCTCGGGTGTTTTCCTGAGGAGGGCGGCCGAACCACCCCAACCCAGGGACCCCTACCAAGGCACCCCTGCTGGGGAAAGAAGAGGAAGCCGTACGAAGGCACCCCTACTGAGGCACCCCTTCTGAGGACCCCCTACTAAGGCACCCCTACTAAGGCACCCCTAGGCACCGCTGCTGAGGCACCCCCAAGAAGGAACCCCTGCTAAGGCACCCCATCTGAGGATGAGAGGCACCCCTGCAAAACGAAAGGAAGCTTTCGTCCGCTGCCAGGTGACTCATCACCATGTTCTTCGAGGCTCCCGTGCCCAGTCGTGGGAGCGCATCAGCCGCGCCTCGTTGCGAGCCCTCCGAGGGAGGGGGGGGGCTGGAGCGCTCCACTCGTGCGGAAGGGCCCCCCCTGGCCGGGCCTGCGGCTATAGATGGGCGATTTCGGAAAACCTGAACCCACAAACGCTTTCATCTCTTGGGGGCGCACGGTTTACTTCCGCTACCTTTCGCTGAGCTTCTGCCGGCTTCCGCCCGCGGAGGCGGCCTCGTTTTCCTTCCACCGACCTTTCGCCGTCCTTCTGCCGCCTTCCGCGGTGGAAGAGATGACATCTCCTTCGATCCTCGACGGCAAGGCAATTTTGGAACGCCTCAGAAAGACAAGCGCGTTCCACGACTCGCAAAGCAACTGCTCGCAACTGGCCTGCATCTGCCACGGGGGATCTACGACCTACTACATCGAGGCAGACACGTATGTGTTTTTCCTGACGGTTGCGAGCAGGCACTTTGCGAATAGCGGAGCGCGCTCGGTGAACAGAGCCCAGGGACCTACGGCGCCCTTCCATCGGGGGCAAGAGGGGGGCGTCCAAGAGGGGGTGGGGGGGGGGGGGGGGGGGGGAAAATCATGGCCGTCGGCGTGTGCGCGGCCCATGGGTGGGGGCCAGGGACGGAAAGAAATAAGAAGAGGTGCCATGAGATCAGAGGAAATATCATGACCCCGATGACAGAGGCTGGGACGGCCTGGCGTTGCTGAGCCCGGGCCACTCCGCGAGGCCCGCGCCAGGGCCCCGCAGGCTTGCACAAACAATCGACCACGGCGCTGCACCCGCGCGAGTGACGAGGCCGAGAGCCCCGAGACGCCCGCGTCGAGGAAGGCCGGGACGCCCGAGGCCTGGCTTCAGGTCGGGCATGTCCCCCTCCCGGCGTATTTCGAAGGAAACACTCAACACATCCATAAGATATCCCCAACAAGTCAGAAGCAACCAAAAATCGTCCCCAGAGTATGTCTGGAGTCTGTTGGAGCACTCCTCCTGTGGAGGGACAGGCCCGACTTGAGGCCTGCGCAGACCGCAGCCCACGGCGCGGCACCCGTGCGAGGGACGAGGCCGCGAGCCCCGAGGCGCAGCTGTCGAGGAGGGCCTCCTCCGAGAGGCCCGCGGGAGGCGGGCCTCCTCCGAGAGGCCGGGGCCCTCCGAGCAGCGAGCCGGGCACGGGGAGCTGCAGCACGGGCCCGCCCGCCTCCCCAGGCTCAGGGGCCTCCCAGACGGGGCCGGAGCAGATCTGGGGCGGGCACGTCCCTCTACAGTCAGGGCCTTGACCTAAGGAGCCCTAAGTAAGGAGCGAGGCCCCTTTTTTCCATAAGTTAACCTTCGATTTCCGATCGGAAGCATAAAGAAAACCTGAGGCAAGCTGTGAAACACGTAAGGAACGCGGAGCCCCTCCCCAACGAAAAGGGTTCCTTCTTCAGGGCACGTCCCTCTACAGGAGACAGGAGACAGGAGCGCGCCGAGTCCGCCGGTCGGCCGGCGGGCCCCCTATATAGGAGCAGCGCGGGTGGGCCGGAGCCCGGTTCTCGCATGTGGTGGAGGGAGGCGTCTCTACAGGAGGAAGCTCCAAAGATCGTCCAAGAAGAGCCGGGGGGGCGGCTGTTCTAGTGTCCTTGACCATGTTCGAGTATCTGTTGGGCATTCTTCATTTCTCGTCCAAAATCCGCCTGTAGGGGGACATGCCCGACCCAAGAGCAGATGCGGTCGGAGGATCGCGCGGCACCGCCGATGGATCGGCGACGCATCGGCGATGCACGGGCCATGCATCGGCCACGCACCAGCGATGCATCCGCGACGTCGGCGGTGCATCGGCGAAGTCGACGTGACGCAGATCGGGCTCCGCATCGAGTCGCATCGGCGATGCATCGGCGATGCGGCGGGATCCTCCAACCCCGTCTGCTCCGACCCCATCTGGGAGGCCTATAGAGAAGTTCTCTGGTCGCCTGGGGCTTCGCGGGAGGTCCGCCCAGGCCCGCGCCCTTCGGGGGCGGCGAAGAGGGGGGCGGCCAGGAGGGGGAGGCGCAGATCGTGGCTGGCGGCACGTGCGCGGCCCGTGTGGGGGGGGGGCCAAGGACGTAATTAGGGGAACAAAAAATGACATAAACATAAAAACTCGGAGGTCCGCGCGGATTTCTCGGATCGGCGCTGGACCCCCCTCCCTGGCGCGCGGAGCGCGCCAGGGGCGGCGCCGGAGGCGCCGCCGGGTGGCCCCAGCGCCGGTCCGAGAAATCCGCGCGGACCTCTGAGTTTTTATGTTATGCCACTTTTGGTTCCCCTAGTAATGAAATGAGAAGAGGCGCCACGAGATCTGAGGAAATGTCATGGCGCACGCCATGATATCCTCCCCCCCCCTAGTCATCGCCCCCCGCTCAGCCGCCACCGGGCCCAGAAGCTCCTCCCCGCCGGGCGGGGCTGCCAGGCTGTACCCCTGGGCCGCCCCTGGGCAGGAGGGCTCCGCGGCACAGACCGCGAGTCACGCCCGCTCGGGCAACGGAAGCACCCCCCCACCCCACCCTCCCGGAGGGAGGGGGAGCACCTTCAGGAGGAGGAGGGAGGAGGAGGAGGGAGGGGGCAGGAGAGGAGGAGGAGGAGGAGGAGGAGGAGGAGGAGGAGGAGGAGGAGGGAGGAGGAGGAGGAGGAGGAGCGCACGTAACTCATGAGGGCATGGTTACGTCATCGACTGGCGCACATGGCCAGCTTAGTGGCACGCAAGAGCCTCAGGTGGGCCTCAAGGTCGCCACAACGGGAGGGCGAGGCCTCATGCTCTGCTTTGAGCTTGTGGTAGAAGTGAAAACCTAGCACGGCTAGGCGATGAGTGGTCTCGCGGGTGACCTGCGGATCATAATCAGCATCGAGGCCGAGGCCGAGACGCGCCAGGGGGCATGAGGGGAGGAAGAGCCTCGGACGGGCGAGGAGGTGGAGGAGACGAGGGCAGGACAGGTAATGAGGCCAGCGATCGAGACCGTCCTCGCACCCTAACAGGCAGCGGCGCTGACCCAGAAAGGGCATACGACCTGAGGTGACCCATCCCCCTGCGAGAGTCTTGACGCGGGCCCAAGCCCAGCTGGGCTTGGACCAGGAGAGCACACCCCAGAGCAGGGCCCAACGATGGGCCATATCCCCCAACGGGGGAAGGGGCACCTCAGGGAGCCAGGCCCTCAACCTTCGAAGGAAGAGAAGGGGGAGAGCGTCGGGGAAGGCGAGGCGGGTGAGGGCCTGGGCGAAGGCACGCTGGGGCCTCGGACGGCGAGAGGCGATCGCAGCGGCGGCCAATTCCTCCGCGCCAGCAGAGACGGCATCGCGTAGCTGATCTAAGCGAAGCGAATAGCGCGGCACACAGTCCAGGGCCGAAACGAGAAACTGAGCGATACTCTGTTGCCGCTGCCAACATGGAGGGCTCCATTCCTGGCGAATGTATCTGACCAGCGGCCCATGCCACACTGCAAATTCCCCTAGATCGCAAGAAAGTGTCCGAACCCTGGTGCCATAGCTGTGAGCCGCAAACCTCCATGCCGAGGCACAAGCAAGAACAGCCATCGACGCTGGGCCGGGACCAGGGATCCAGGCATTCAGAGACAGCAGCTCGGATCGTTTGAACGTGTTCGGGGGCAGCCGAAGCAACTTATGAACAAGCCAGGGCTCCTTGGAAAGGAGGGAAGGGGGGAGGGGAAAAAACTGACAGAGGCAGGAGAAGACGGAGAGGATCGAGGAATTGTAGGAGCGGCAAGAGGCCTCCGACGGCGACCGAGTTGCTGCAAGAAGACGGGTCCGGAAGCACAGTTTTGATGCCGCCGCCTCCCACTGTGCCTCGA